TTCAACCATCCTGATTGTCTTTGTTTGAAAATTCTCATGAGATTGATGCCTTTATAGTGTTATAAACTGAACTTAGTTCTCCAGATATGGACTGGCAAGGGTAGAGTGTATTGATACTTTCACTATCCTATTCCTTGGAGCTATATCCTTCTTCATTCATCCCAAGAATGGATTAGTTGTTTGTTTGTTTGTTTTTCAACTGCAACATCATGCCTTTGACTCATATTGACATTGCAGCCCAACATCAACAACAATCAGATTCTTTTCAGAAATGCTCCCTAATCATGCCTCAGCATTCTATAATTGAGAGGGGTTTTTTTGTTTTGTTTTGTTTTGTCATGTTTTGTTTTGTTTTATTTTCATTCAAGTATAGACCTTTACATTGATCCTTATTAATCATCTTATTCGATTCATCCCAATACTCTAATCCACCCAATATCTTTTGGGATATTAACTAGCTCATTCAGTACTTTAACTACATCTTTCAGCTTGTGTCTTCTGTGAACTTAATTAGCATGTCATCTATGTCTTTTTCCAAGTTATTGATTAAAATACTCAAAAGACTAAACAATGGAAACCTGTTGCCATGTTTACATTGAATATTAACAACTAATCTGAGACTTTGAGATCAGCCATCCAATGTGTTCTGAATCTGTATAATTAGATTATCATCCAATCCACATCCTCCCATCTTCTCCACACACACAAAAAAAGTATGAGATATAGTGTCAAAAGCTTTGTTATAATGTGGGTAAAATATATCAGCAACATTCCTCTCATCTACTACTTCAGTAATCATGACCGAAAACAAGTACAGCTCATGGGTTTAGTTTTGCATGAACCATTCATGATGAATCCACACTAGTTCTTTACAAGCACTTCTTCCTAGTCTAGGTTTCACTAAATATCTCTTTAATGAAATTTGCTAGAATTTTCTCAGGAAACAAAGTCAAGTTCATTTGCCTATAGTAGTTTGACTGTAATTTTCCATTTTTTAAAAATCAAGATATTTACCTTTTTCTTGTCTTAGACCTCTCCTATTGTCCATTGTGTCCGAAATATCACTGACAGAAAATCTAGCAATCATATCCACCAGAAATTTTAGCACCTGAGAATGGAGTTAATTTGGACCAGGTGACTTAAATTCATCAAAGGAACCCAAATGGCTTCTCATTATTTCCTTACTTATCCTAAGTATCAACTACCTGCTAGTAATTTTTGTTTGTCATTTCCAGTGCAATGACCATTCTTCTATTCAGAGCTCACAGAAAAAGGAAAATGAAAGTTGAGCTACTCTGCGTTCTCTGTTTCATAAACAATAATCATCCCACCTACTCCAAAAAGAAAAAACCCTCTATCTTTTTTGATATTTGATTTTCTCCCAATATAGGTAGAAAAAAAATGGACAAACTTTTTGTTTGTGACCAATAGCTTGCCTTGTCAGCTTTAACTCCTGAGCTTCAGTGTTCCTGATACTATCTTCAAAGGATAGTATTTATTCATTTATTTATATTTATTATTTTTTAATCTAGCCTTGCTTCCATTTTCTATTCACTTCTTTTAAAGATATTAGTTGCTGGAGAGTTCCCAGTGCATTCACATTGATCAGACAAATCCTGTTTTTGCCCCTTATAATTGGAATTGTTTCCCTTTGTCTTTTCAGATTTTCATTCTTAATCATCTCCAATCCTTTATGGCTGACTTCTCCCAAAGTATTTTATTCTATATAATTCTACCATTATTTCCTCAGAACCCTTTGAAATCAGCTTTCTCCAAATGTAGGATACATGTTAGGACGTCTCAGTGGCACAGTGGATAGAGTACCACAGGCCTGGAATCAGGAAGATTCATCTCCCTGAGTTCAGATTTGACCTTAACTACTTAGTAACTGTGTGACCCTGGGCAAGTCACTTATCCCTGTGTGCCTCAGTTCCCTCATCTGCAAAATGAGCTGGAGAAGGAAATCACAAACTACTTTAGTATCTCTGCCAAGAAAACCCAAAATAGGTTCATGAAGAGTCAGATATGACTGAAAAATAACTGAACTGAAGGATACATGTCAAACTATTACTGTATATACCCTCCCACAAACTCTAGGATGAAATTATCATCCCCCCCTGCACACTAAAGTTCTCATCATTTTCACCCTCAGTAATCAGTCCCTTCCTGTTAGTGAGAATCATATCCAGAATAGAATTTTCCTGTGTTGGTTCTTTCAACTTTTGAAGGGTGAAATGATCACTAAGGCAAATTAAGAAATGATTATTGAGGCAGCTAGGTGGCACAGTGGATAGAGCACTGACCCTGAAGTCAGGAGGACCTGAGTTCAAATCCAGCCTCAGACCAAACATTTGACACTTACTAGCTGTGTGACCCTGGGCAAGTCACTTAACCCCAATTGCCTAAAAAAGAAATGATTACCTGCCCTGCTTTTGATGGAGATAGAGAGCTCCAGCTAATGTATGTATAATTGAAGTCCCATAGCATTATGATACCATACCTCTATGCCAGGCTTATGATCCGGTTCTAAAACTCCCCAATATTTCCCTTTTTTTATCCAGTTATGTCTGTAATATACTGAAATGAAAAAAAATACTTCTGCTTCTCCATCTTTTGACCTTCATCAAGATAAATTTTCATCATGTTTTTCTTCCTCTTCTCAGATTTCCTTATATGAATAGGCTTTCTTACTCTATAATATTACTCCCCTTTCCATCCCATTTTGCTGCCCTTATTTCTTTAGAATAAGGAATACCTACCCAGAACCATGATCCTGTTATGAGTTTTACCACACTAAGTCTTATTCATATTTATCAAGCCAAATGTTCATTCTAGTATTAAGACGTGACTTTTTGTTATTTTTGAATGGTGCCTAAACTTTGGGTATTTATGTATAATCATTTGAGGTTATATGTTTTTTTTTTCCTCCTGACTCTTTTCTTAGAATTTGTCTTCTGTGAATTTCTGTCTTCTCAGCTGCTATTCATTCTTTGTGGCTACTTTCTACACTATGTAACTTGGCACATATACATAGGTGTTCTGCTTCCTCCATCCTTTTTGTTTGTTTGTCTAAATACCCCTTTAAATGCTCCTCAGTAGGGGCTGTGTAATTATGTTTTTGAAAAGCTCAGCCCAAAACCTGCATTGAACTTGGGATAGCTTTTGAAGGTTTAGTGATTAAATGGGACCTTTGTTGCATCTTCACAATAATTCTTCAAGAAAAGAATCTGAAGGTGCTAAAAATGGCAAACATTAGAAAATGTTAAAAAAAAAAGACTACATCTTAGAATTCTAGAATGCTAATGACCAAGGTAGCAATCATTACAGACTCATCTGCCTCTGTGAAGTCTGATCATATACTAATTAAAGAGCAAATCAATGACAAATTAGAAGAAAGGCTATTTATGGGAAGAAAATACTATCTGAACACAGTGGCCTCAATAGAAACTTTTCAAAGAAGCTGGCAGCACATTTAAAAAAAAAAGTAAATCGCCAAAAGTAAAGGAATCACCTCATCACCATTTCCTAGAGAAGCTTCAGTGGTAGGAAATAGTTACCACAATGAATAGGCTGATACAGTCCAGAAATTTCCTCAGTCCTCCAACCTCTCATCTTTTTCTGAGTGAACAGCCATAGTAGCCAAGGGCAATATTGGTTTCTATTATAAATATAAGCTAAGTTACATAGCATTATAAAGCAAGCATTTAGCAGAGTATGAATACATAATATCTTAAAATAGTTGAAAGGGATATTAATTTGATAGTATATTAACATGATTAACTTTTCATAATAAACTAGCTCATTATTTTGATGGATATACATATGTGTTTATTTCTACATACATATATAACATCACACATGTATTTATAGGCATGTAGCTATATATTAAGATATGCTTACATGTACACATATGTATAACATGCATACATATATTTGTAGATGCATATACACGTTCATATATTAGCATGTGTATATATATCTACATATACATATGTATATGTTCATAGATATCTAGATATGTGGGTATACATATATACTCAACTTACATAGTTGAGTGTATAGATGTATAGATACAAAAACAGATAAAGGCAATATACATATACATGTACATATGCACATACATATACATTTACACATACATACACACACATACAATCAACTTAGATAACTGAGGAAGCCAGATTAATAGATCTGCCTTCTGAGATGGATGATCCTGAGAAAGGTTATCCTATCCAGATAGGATTGTCTCTGAGTTGTGTGAACACACTCAGCATAAAACTCAAGCACAAACCTATTCTATGACTAAATAATTGTAGCAGAATGTCAGGACTGGAAAATATAGTTGGTTCTGGTGGCCATAGCTCCTATAGTCAGACCTCAAATTGGTAAGACTGGCAGATATGACATGGACATCTTGGTGATCAAATCCTTCAGCCTTGCCTCATGATCTAATAGCATCTGGCCATAGCTGATAGATATCAAACAGGAACTCCTGACATGACCAGAACCAACACTGGAAAGCTCAGTTCAACTTTATGCCTGCTGTATGCCTTATAAGGGCTGCTAGGTTGTACAGTGGATAGAGCCCAGAGCCTGGAGTCAGGAAGACTTCAGTATAAATGTGGCCTCAGACACTAGGTGTGTGATCTTGGGAAAATTGTTTAACCCTGTTTGCCTCAGTTTCCTCATCTGTAAAATGAGCTGGAGAAGAAAATGGTAAGTGACTCCAGTAACTTTGCAAAAAAAAAAGGTCAAAAGGGTCAGATATGACTGAAATAACTAAATAACAAAACAACAACAAAAATGCCTTTTCTTTGTTTTATTGAATCCTTTTAATGGAATTTGGTAAGAAAACAAGTGAAAGATCCAGTGGATGATATTTTCTTTTTAAGTTTAAATGTCGAACAGTATTCACAATGTCATTTGTGACAAGCAGAGCTTGCCTGATGCTGGTGTGAGTCATAATAACATCCCCTGCCTTCCTATACTATTCCCTGCAGGAACCACCGTGATGCGTATGACAGCCTTTGATGCTGATGACCCTTCCACAGACAATGCCCTCCTGCGATACAACATCTTGCAGCAGACTCCTGACAAGCCATCTCCCAACATGTTCTATATTGATCCAGAGAAAGGAGATATCGTCACTGTAGTGTCACCAGCACTGTTGGACCGGGAGGTAAGTTCAAAGTCATAGACTTACTGCTGAATAGGAGAGTGTTACAGTATTCCCGGTATGAGATAATGATGTGGACTGGAATAGCGATATTGAGACTGAAGAAGGAACAATGGATGGAAGAGGTATTTCAAATGAAGAATCTGTGTCTTAATCTTAATTTCTCCTGGGACTTTCCTGTTGCTCTGCAATTCTTGTATCCCCTTATCGATAACAAAGGATGCCCCACATCAGTTTTTTTAATACTTTTTTTTTTTGCCTCATGTCTTCTGCACTACAGTTTCTAGGCCCCTTGACTGAACTTTGTTGCCTGTTTAAATGAGACTAAAGCCAGCTCATATAAAAGCCTTCATCTATTCTCTATGCAATTAAAAATACTTGTTTAGCTATGTTCTTCTCCTCTGTCTCTCCTTTCTGAAATGAGAAGATGTGCTTTATCCTCAGTCAGTCAGTCCAGCGGGTCAACAAGCATTTGTTAAGTGCTATGTACTATGTGTCAGGCGTTGTGATGAGCACTTGGAATACAAATACAGATAGAAAGAAAAATAGTCCCTGCCCTTAAGGGGATTATATTCTAATGGAGGAAGACACTCATAAAAGTGAAAAGGGGGAGCTGGGGCAAGATAGAAGCCATTGATTCAGAGGGAGGGGCCTGAAAGCATCCAATGTGTGAATTCCAGGGCCAGAGCAACTCTTCAGGATGAACAGCTGCAGGAGGGTAGTGGAAGTATAGAATGCAGCCTGGAGAGGCTAACTCCTGTGATGTGTGATCTTAGTCCTTGAAGGACCTGCTAGAAGCAAGACTGATGAAAGAGAACCTGAGAAGCCTATAATCCTGAGGGAGTGCTGAATTGCCAAAAGTTAGCAACACACTTAGAGGGTGTGAGATTTTCCAGTGAGGGCTTCTGGCCAGAACACATATATTTCGCCCTAGGGAGTTAAAAGACCTGACATAAGAGGTAAATGTTCTTTTAAGAATGAAAAGACTTGGGGCAGCTAGGTGGAGCAGTGGATAGAGCAGCAGCCCTGGATTCAGGAGGACCTGAGTTCAAATCTGGCCTCAGACACATAACACTTACTAGCTGAGTGACCCTGGGCAAATCACTTAACCCCATTGCCTAGCCAAAAAAAAGAAAAAGAAAAGAAAAAAATGAAAAGACTTTCCTTCAGTGAGGGAGTCACCAAGGAAGAAAGGAAGGAAAGAAGCAAGGAAGGAAGGAAACAAGCATTTATTAATACCTACTCTGCTAAGTACTTTACAAATATTATTTCATTTGATTCCCACAACCTGATAAGTAGGTGCTATGATTATCCCAGTATTATAGTTGAGGAAACTGATGCAGACAGAGGTTAAGTGACTTGCCAAGGTTAAAGCTACTGTTTGTCGTCAGATTTGAACTCAGTCTTTCTTGACTCCAGGTTCTGTTCTCTATCTGGTGCACCCTCCTAGTTACCAATTGTCAGCAGATAAGAAGAACCCATTCAATTCAATCCAGATTCATAGCAATAATTTCCAGTCAGAACTTTCCATGTTATTGACCTCTGCCAGAGGTCCAGTCTGTTTGGCCTTGCCTGAGACTATCAGTCTAATCCAATCTGATCTAATAAGCATTTATTAGGTGTCTATTATACAACAGGCTCTATGTTAAACACTGGAAATTCAATTAATAAAAAGAAAGACAGTCCTAGCCCTCATAGGGCTTATAAGAGAGACAACGTACAAAAGGAGACAGAATAATAAGGGTAGTGGGCATTGTACACCAGGAAGCATCTTGTTTCATTGAGTTGAAGCCATACAAGTCCGTAAATTTAAAGCATCCACAGTATCCTTCTCATTAACACCCTTCCTTATCCTACCTTTCTCTTTTCTGTCTTTCCTCCATTTCTTCTTCATTTTCTCCCCCTCTTTATTTTCTTCTCCTCTTCCAAAGTGAACCTCAGCTATAAGTCTTACCAGTAGTGATTATACCCAAGATATAATGCCACATGCCTGATCACACCTTGATGTGTGTGTTCAAATGGCACCCTGGATCTACCCAGATGTGGACCCCATCATATTGTCCAGGACAGAGAAGGCTTGTTCACCATCTTTATTTATTTATTTTTTGGCCAGGCAATGGGATTAAGTGATTTGCCCAGGGTCACACAGCTAGTAAGTGTTATGTGTCTGAGGTTGGATTTGAACTCAGGTCCTCCTGAATCTAGGGCCAGTGCTCTATCCACTGTGCCACCTAGCTGCCCTGTTCACCATCTTTAAAAAGAACATTCCTAGACTCTACTTTTTTCTGAAATGACCATCTTGTTTTTCTCTTAATTTTCATTCCTTACCCTCTTAAAGGTATAAACTATATCTAGCTTCTCTGTTTACTTGCCCCTTATAATCTGACTTCTAATCCTACTACTCTATTTTTTTCCTGAGAGATCATAACTGATCCCTAACCACAACATTCAGTTTTCCCAGGCCTTATTCTGAAGAATATAACATTTAACATTGTTGACTTCATCAAAATTATTTCCTTGCCTTCCATAATTATATACAATTTGTCTGCCAAATGTTCATTTGTTTTCTCTACTGGATCCTCCTTCTACTCCTAGAGTTTATAAATGGATTGACCTTTGTGCCATCCTTAGAACCTCTTATCTTTTCTCTCTACTCCTCCCAAGTGGACTTTTCCACTACAAGTGTTGATCTTGGAGTTGCAAAGACCTGAGTTTAAATATTTCCTCAGACACTTACCAGCTATGAGACTCTGGACAAATCACTTAACCTGTCTAATTCTCAGTTTCATTATTACAAGGGGATAATAATAGGACCTATCTCACTGAGTTGTTTTAAGGATTAAGTACTCCAAGATATGTACAGTGCTTTATAAATTTTAAAGTACTATATAAATATTAATAATTATCATTATTATTTTTATGTAATTTATTCTAAGATCTCTATCCCCTTCCCTGAGCTCTAACCCTAATCTAATACTTAGCTTACAGCGGAATATTGTCCTGAATGTTTCATGTTGAAACTTCAAATTCAACACAAATAAGAACCATCAATTTCCCACCATAACCAGCTTTGTCTCAAGAATACTCTATTTCCATTATTATTGTCTCATGTATCCAAGCTTTAAACTTTTAAGCTAGGATTGACTTTCCTTCCCTCATCCTTCAGCCTTACTATGTTCAGCCAGATAGAAGGGAAATTAAGGCCATCTAATACAAATGCCTCATTTTACAAATGAGAACCTGAAGCCTAGAAAGGTTAAGTGACTACCCCGCCACACAGGTAGGACTGCTGATATCTGTAGGTTATATACATATATATACATATATATGTGATATCTGTAAGTTTTATATATATATATATACACCTAGGCTCTATGTTAAGCACTGGAAATTCAATTAATAAAAAGAAAGACAGTCCCTGCCCTCATACAGCTTATAAGATATACATACATACATACATACATACATACATACACACATACATACATATATATGTGTGTGTGTATATGTATATGTATATGTATGTGTATGTGTATGTGTATGTGTATGTGTATGTGTATGTGTATGTGTATATGTATGTGTATACGTATACGTATACGTATACGTATATGTATATGTATATGTATGTGTATATGTGTATGTATATGTATGTGTATATGTATATGTATGTACATGGACTAGATTCTTCCTCTGGGCCTCATAGTCTCCACCAGATGCTGCTCTTCTGTCTTGCTGACAGAAATGGTTCTGCTGGAAATGCAGTCTCTGCAGACCGTGGTTGGCCAAAATCTATGCTGGTTCTAATTTCTGGCTTTGCTAAAATGCTTTGTTAAGGTGCTGCCATGCTATTTTAGCTCAAAGTCTTTACTCATATACTTGGGCAAACTCTTTTATTTATTTTTAATTAAATTTTTATTGATGTTGTTTTTATAGCACCATCATTTCTCAAAATATCTCTCATCTCCCCCTCCCAGAGAACTATCCTTCACAATAAAGAAATTTAAAAAAAAAGAAAGAAAAAGAAAAGAAAAAGAATTAAAAAAAAGACAATTCAGGAGAAAAACCATTCAAACTAACCAACACATTAACCTAGTCTGACATTATACACAAAATTCCACATCCATAGTTCTCAGTCTCTGCCAAGGAGGGTCTGGGCTAAAATTCCAAATCTCTTCTTTGATGAAAAGTTGGTTACTATAACTTCATAACAATGAGTTTTGGTTTTCTTGTTGCTGTTTTTTTTTTTTAATTTATGTGATTATAATAATGGTGTATATTGTTTGCCTGGTTCTGCTTTTCTTAATATCAAATTAATTTATACAGGTCTTCCATGATTCTCCATTCTATACCATTGGAGTCAAACTAGAAAAAAAATGCATCCACTGAACTGTACAAAAATATACCTGTGGACCACATATTGACTTGAAAAACCACATATTAAGTATCTATTTGCTATTGTATTTTTTGTTAAATTTTTCTCAATTATATTTTAATTTGGTTCTGTCCCATTTGGGAGTATTGCCTCTCATGTTTGACACCTCTGTTCTATACATTCATCATTTCTTATAGAGCAGTTATATCCCATTAAAAATCATGGACCACAATTTATTTAGCCATTTTAAAATAGACATATACTTTTTCCCCCTCCTACTTCTTTGCCACTACAAAAGAGGTACAGCTGTAAATGGTTTAGTACATCTTAAATTGTTTTTATTATTAGCCTTGTTGGAGTACATGCATAGTAGTAGAATCTCAGGGTCAAAGAGTATAGACATTTTAGCCATTTTATTTACATAAATACAAATTATTTTCCAGAATACTAGGACCTATGCATAGCTCCAACATCAGTTCTTTTAGAAAAATCAGAAAGTCCTTTGCCCTCAGACAAGCAGAAAGTCTCTGTTTTGCCTTATATTTCAGCCACTCATATCCTTAAACAGAAGGTTTTTTTTTTAGCCCTAACTACCAAATTCTTCAAAACAGAGCAGGCCTATGCTTTGATT